AGCTGCATCTGTCCAACATCTGTCTGAGTCTGACAGACAAACACTGCTGTCTGCAGGTCAGCACGCCGGCCCATAAACCATCAAGTCCCACAGCACGGACACACACACACACACACACACACACACACACACACACACACACACACACACACACACACACACACACTGTATCACAAACCCACATACGCACACTTTAACACACACACACACTGTAACACACAGATTGTAATACACACACACAGACACACGTGCAGGTGTTGTTGCCTGTGAACAACCATCCTGTCATCACAGCAGCCATCACTAATTAGCTGCATCACCACAGTAACAACACTGCTAGCTCATTAGTGACAGGCTTAATTAGATAGTGGAGGGGGGAGAAGCGGGGGAGGACTGAAAGAAAGAATCAGGAAGTGAGAGATTGGAAAAGGAAATGCAGGGAGAAGAGAAGAATGAAGGGAAGAGAAGTCATATCTGAGAGAGACGGGAGGGAGGAGGACTTCCTGTTATGGGCGGCAACAGGAAGTAAGGCTCCATTTTCTATGCTGACTGTACAACACACACACACACACACACAGCTGAATGTGTGTCAGAGAGGGTTATCAAGGACGTATATGGCAGGGGAATTTTCTCTGGCTTCATGAAGTTGTTGTCATGGCGTTAGAAGTTCCTCAGGGCACGCTGCTGGGCCCACTCGTTACACTCAGATGGAAAATATAAGCACTATTAAGAAAACGGTCTGACGTTAAAGTCATCAAACTCACAGGCAGAGAATCTGAACTGATGTCTGTAGTCATGTTTGACTTACATCAGAGATTCTTTCTTTTTGGACACAAATAGAAAACACTGACAAAAGCCGCAGTCAGGGTCACATCTGACACTGGTAACTGTCAACTACTAATCTGACACCGTGGTAACTGTGTAACTGACAACTACACATCTGACAGTCAAAGGAGCTTGCAAAGAAAAGCGTCTGGAGTTCTTTAAGTTGCTTGAAGACCTCTCATCCGAGAAGCTTCTTCAGTTCTAAGGTCAAATGGGTGGGGAGTCCCTGGCTGATTGTGACCCACACCCAGTTTCACACCTTGGCTCAGGCGATTAGAGGATCATCAGGGGGTCCTTTTGTCCCTCTGTGGGGGGAAATTCCCACTAGGTTTAAATCTGGGACTCTCCACCATTTGACCTTAGAATTGAAGAAGCTTCTCGGATGAGAGGTGAAACATCTTCAAGCAACTTAAAGAAGTCCAGACGCTTTTCTTTGCAAGCTCCTTAGACAACGATGACCTGGATGATTGAGAACCTTCACAGACATACACATCTGACACCGTGGTAACTGACAACTACACATCTGACACTGTGATGAGATGAGAATTATTTTGTAGCTTTACAGCCAAAATGAAGCAGGCGGCCTCTTGATGCGTGGACGTTAAAGGGTTAAAACTATCAACACGAGCAGGTCTGAGGTTTCACAGCTGGTGTTTGGTCTTTGGTGCAGGTGGTGTTTGAGGCGGTCAGCACCGGTCACAGAGGCATTCTGGCCATCAAGGACATCTCACTGCAGGGACACCAGTGCAGTAAGTTTACACACGCACACACAGACACACAGGAAGACACCGCCCCCTTGTAGAACAAGTTCCTAATTGGTTAACGACGTTTGGCTACTTAATTGGATAACAATGTTAAAAGTTGAGCCGGTATTGTAGAATCAAGGTCACTGTGTGTGTGTGTGTGTGTGTGTGTGTGTGTGTGTGTGTGTGTGTGTGTGTGTGTGTGTGGAGGCAGGGGAGCTCATTAAAATATAAGTTGATTAGCATGGACTTTGATCCATCCTTCTGTTTATCTACTTGCTCAACTGAAGACTCCTATTTTTATGTTGTTTTCTTATGTGAACACAACACACACACACACACACACACATAGGGTGGTGTGTGCGTGTGTGTGTGTGTGTACACATCTTTTTGATGGAAGAAAAACCTCGAGTAAACATCTTTAACCTGAACTTTTTCTTGCTGTCTTACTTCACGTCGACACTGTTCAATAAACTGATTGAAAACACACACACACACA